GGCATGTGAGAAGCTCAGGCTCATGTCTGCGGCCTCGCTGGAGTCTCCACACCCAGTGTTCTTATCCCTTTCCGTAATTCTTATCAGATGGTTCTGCCCGTTGATGAGAGCTTGACCGAGGCCTTGGGAATCCGATCCAAATATGCTTCTTTGCGAAAAGACAGCTTACTGAAAGCGGGTAAGCAGCTTCTTCTCATGTGACTGGCCACCCTTTGCTCCCGCCCACTTTGATTGCCACACACACGCCTCAGATGGTACCTATCTGCTGTTATTCATCAGTGTGGCATTTTCTGTAGTATGCAGAGCTGGAAATCCCTCAAGGAAGGGGCTCCATTTTACTCTTATTTGACACTTGCTTTAGTGACTGACAATGTTCCTGCCCCTGCTCCTTGCTGTTCAGAGTTACTACTATCCTCTGACAGTGAGGAGTGTCAGGTACTGCTTGGAGGGCTTGCTTTATGTGAGTTTTGGGTTTTGAGTTTTCTTGTTGCTGTTTGCTTGCTTATTAGTTCTCTTGGGAAAACAGGTCCGTAGAGTCACTGAGGGCCCAAGCAGGAGCCGTGCAGGTGGGTCCGCAGCTATCTCACTCATGGCCTGTCTTCTTGCATTCTTACCTCAGTGTTTGGTGGTGCCATCTGCCGCATGTACCGCTTCCCAACCACTGATGGCAACCACCTACGGATCCTGGAACAGATGGCAGAGAGCGTCCTCTCCCTGCACGTGCCTCGGCAGTTTGTGAAGCTACTGCTGGAAGAAGATGCAGCCAGGTGAGGCCAAGTGGATGGACACTCAGCACCCATGAGCATGTGCCTTCGACAGGCCGAGTGCAGACACAGGCTCTCCCCTTGCTGGCCCCGTGGCCCCAGCTGTCTGAAGCCTCACTTTGCTCTTCTGTCTGTGCTTGGAGCCCCAGAGGCTTGGCTAATGTCAGCCTATCTTCCCTTCTTTCTCTCTCTTTTCCTTCTCATCTATCCTGTTTGGAACCACAGAGATAAGAGCTCAGAGAATGACCCTGCAGGGTCCTCCTCTCCCACAGAGCAAAGCTTTCATCCCGAGGCATATTTTCTCAGTTCCAAGTAAGGGTGAGACTGTGTCTGTCTCAGACTGTAACCTCCACAGCCTTTTCTAAATCAGCATTAGTGATTAACATCATGTGCATTACTGCTTCAAAGAGCTCCTTCATGGGTGGGTGCCTTAGAGCCAGCTAAGGTGTTGGCAGCAACTGTACGTGCAGGGCTGACACCCAGTGTGGGCAGCAAGGATGCTCAGATGGGAGATGGGGCTCTCCCAGAAGTGTGAGACTGTCACTGTGTTCTTGACACAGAAAGGGAGTTGTTGGAATGATGGTGGGGAGGTGAGTGTTTTCTCACATCTCCTGTCCTTCTGTTCTGGAGTAATGCATCATCCTGCAGAGAACTGGACCAGTGCCTGAGTGACGTTTTCAAGGTCACCAGGCAGAGCTCCTCCTCAGCTGCTTCTTTCCTCCTCACATTCGCTGCTGGCCTTGAACATTTGCCTCGGCTCCCGTAGTTTCTCTGTGTGCTTCCCGTGTGCTCAGTGATCTCTCCCATCATCCTATGAGGATGGCAGTGACACTGCTGGCCTGGCCACAGCTGCAGGGAGGTGAGCCAGCCCTGCGGCCTGATGTGTGTGTTTTGTTTGCAGAGTATGTGAGTTGGAAGAGTTGGGGGAGCTGTCCCCTTGCTGGGAGAGCCTCCGGCGCCAGATTGTCACCCAGTATCAGACTATCATTCTCACCTACCAGGAGAATCTGACCGACCTCCATCAGTACAAAGGTGAGTGTGGCCCTGTTGTCCCAGGTACCTGAATCTCCCACACTCCTAACTGAAGGCCTGGGATGCTCGCAGACTCTCTGATTATCTCAAGTGGGATTTTAAAAATAGATGCTCATGTAGGTGTGAATTCTTTCAACTCTGGGTTTTTCAGATCTTAATTGAAATGATAAATCAGTGAATTGCAAGAAGTCTTTCTCTGGTATTATCTCCTAAAACAACCCCTGTGACATGAAGTTGAGGTGAAGCAGTTTCAGGTTACCCTGGCCATGTGGGTTCTCCATCTTGGCCTTATACCATTGAAAACCACAAGAATATGGACTGTTTGCCTGAAGCAAGGCAGTTTCCTAGTTTAAATATTTGAAATCATTTTAAAGAATATGTAAGCTGTCAGAGTGCAGCTCGGTATTTTAAACTCAAGAGAAAGTGAGGTTTAGACACCTCACCTAATTTTCTCCTTACTTGCGTTTCCTTTTTCCCAGGCTGGAGTCTGGAGGTCAAGCCCAGGGCTTAGTGCATGCTAGGAGAGCACCCTTCTGGAAGATGATATTTGATTTTCAAACTATGTAATTTTGTTAACCCATTTTCTTTCTATTCCAAATGGGATAAATTTTTTTGTTTTAGTCTTTGAAAGTACTTTTTCTCTTATAACTTATTTATTTTGTAAAGATTTATTTTTGAGATTAAAGTATAATTACATTTTTTCCTTCCCTTCCCTCCTTTTTGTTTTTTGTTTGTTTGTTTTTCTTTTTTGCTTTATGTATATGAGTGCTCTGTCTTTCTACATGTCTTCATGGCAGAAGAGGGCATCAGATCCCATTATAGATGGTTCTGAGTCACCACTTAGATATTGGGAATTGAACTCAGGACCTCTGGAAGAGCAACTAGTGTTCTTAACCACTGAGCCATGTCTCTAGCCCCACTCCTTTCTTTCAAAGTAGTCTTTACCTTTGGTTTCTCTCCTTCTATATACTGCTTTGTCATTGTGAAATCGTGAACCCTTCCTATGATTTCCACACACAATATAGGAACTTGTCCATAAACTTAGCAAGACAGTGGCATGTGGGACTACTCCAAGCAAGTCCAAGTGCATTACTTAGAAAGGTGGGAGCATTTACCTGAGCAGTTGAGGCACCAGCTTATGCTGGATAAATGTTCATGAGAAAGCTTGGAACCCCTGCAAACCTGAGTTTTCTAGGATAGAGCTTTTTAAATATCAGAAGCATCCACTGTTCTGAGACTCTCAGCTAAATACCGGCCTTGGCTATATTTCTTACAGTGTCCAAGACAGGCACACTGCAGGTCTGAGAGTCACAGTGTGGCTTCCAGACTCCTGTATGCAGAACACAGTGGCTGTCTGCCTGAGAGCCATTGGTCACTCTCCTGTTGACACTTTCACCTCATTTAGTTCTGGTTTCTGATTCTAGAAATGAGGTTGTGGCTGCTGGTTAGTTACATCGCCCTATTCTCTAGGCCTAAGCATGTGTGAGGGAACTTACTGAAACGGATTGAAGAGTGCAGGCTGGGCCATAGAGCCTGACCCAAGGTCTTCATTTCAGATTGAGAGGTGCTATTCCAGGAAGGCCAGTTTCAAGGCTCTGGGATGGTAGCAGTCTGTAGAGCTGGCAGGCAGTCTCTGAGGTGGTCCACTGCCTTTCTGTGGTGGTGGTACCATACCACCTACAATCACATCTGTGTAGCATGACTTTCTGAACTGAGTTACAGGAGGAGGGGCCTCACCAGTACTCCAGCCTTCTAAAAGCATTCAGAGTCAGACCCCTGGCTGCAAGCTACCCTCCAACCTACTGTTCTACGTGGCCATTCAGAACCTTCCAGGCCTCTGTTGGGCTAGGCCTGCTTCCATGAAGCCGCTCCTCTAGGTGCTTTCCTACTTGCACATGGTGCATGTTGATGGGTCTGTTTTCTTGTTTTATTTCTTAGGTCCTTCGTTTAAAGCAAGCAGTTTGAAAGCAGATAAAAAGTTAGAATTTGTTCCCACAAACCTGCACATACAACGGATGCGAGTTCAAGACGACGGAGGCTCAGGTACTTGCTTTTCTTTCTCACCTCGATGTTGGGTTGTGCTCTGCTTCTTTATTTCTGTATAGAGTCTCTCTCTCTCTCTCTCTCTCTCTCTCTCTCTCTCTCTCTCTCTCTCTCCCCCCCCTCCCTCCCTCCATCCTTCCTTCCTTCTTCTAACCCCCAAGGACCTTTGAAAATTTTCAGTTAAAAAAATCCAAACCCTTTCCTTAGATCTCTTCAGCTTCCTTTTGTTTTATGGCAGAAAGTTGCCGATCAGTGACCCCTTCCCAAGAGGGGAGGAGGTGAGCGTTTAGCAGCCCAGATGGCCGCTCTACCTCTCGGCTTTCTTACTGAACAGTTAGCGTTGGGTCCAGCAAGCCCTCTTTTGGCCTCTGGATGTAGGATTAGGGAGCCAGAGGCTGTTTGTACATAGCCTGTAGGTCCCACAATGCTATGCATGCTGCCATAGCTGGCTTGTCTGTAGGCCTGACCCCAGAGTAACGGAGGAAAGCTTTCTATTGCTCAGATCAGAACTACGATGTCGTCACTATTGGAGCCCCAGCAGCACACTGCCAAGGTTTTAAGTCAGGAGGTCTTCGAAAAAAGCTGCACAAGTTTGAAGAGGCCAAGAAGCAGTAAGTGAAGGAGGGTGTCTGTGGTCCTGTACAGCTGTGTCTGATGTCTGCGAGTTTACAACGAGAATCAAAACGGAACTGCAAAAGCATCCAGCCATCTGATCTGCTTCTGCGTGGCTGGAGAGCTGCCTCAGGGACCCTGTGCTGCTCTGTGTGCGTGTGGCTGAGGGGAGGCAGTGGTGAGGCACCACCATAGTCCAGTCTTTCCAGGGAGCTACAGACAGAGGGCCACCTCTGGGAGCTGCTTCAGGCAGCCGCCTGTGTGCAGTGCCTGCCAGCTCAGCGTTCTCTGCACTCTCTGATCAGTTGGTGAAGCACTAGCCTTGTAAAGCCTCTGACAAGGCTATACTCTCAGGTCATTTTTATAGTTCCTAGAGCCCCCGGCACTCTGTGTCCTTTCCTAAAGGACAGCAGTGGCAAGTGTTGCCACTACTGAAAGGATCTAGAGGGTTGTATAGTTCTGTCCTGCCAGGAAACTGCCAGGGAGGCAGGGTGGGGAAAGGCCTCCCAGCTCAAGCATTCCTTGGATATCTGTCATCCAAAATGTGACCTGGCAAAATGTAAACATGATCAGAGGGTCTGAGTGTAAAACTGAGCAGGGTGACAGCATTGTGAGGTCCTGGGGCAGAGTGTGCAGTGGGGAAGCACCAGAAAGGAGAATGTGCTCGGAGTCTGATTGACTCTGTGTCTAATGCACATGTGTAAGGTGAGGGAGAAAGAACAGAGCAGCTCACTAATCCCAGAAGGGGCAAGGCAGCAGGTGGGTTAGCACAGAGCCGTCGGGTGCCAGGGGATAAGATCAAGTGTTACTGGGAGGCCTCAGCAAGATGTACTCTTGATCTGAGAGCGGAATTCTTTCAGAGGTAGGAAGCAAAGATACAGGGAGTCCCAGTGACTCCCATATGGTAACAGGTAGAAGCAAGTAGAGGAGGGTCCTAGCACAAATGGGTGTTGATTGGTCATTGTCTGGTTCTGCTGCCGCGGCCAGAGTGCGGGTACGGCACCACTGTGTCGGGATACTGGACAGTCAGTGGCCCATGAGGAGCCTGTGGAGTCAGGAAGGCAGATCAGAGTGCCACTGATGTCAGCGGTGCCAGAAATGGAACAGGGAGCAAGAAAGGACATTCTCAGAGAGCTTTCCCTTCCAGTGTGTGTCACCTAGCCTGGATAAGAGGAGGAGAAGCAGGGAAAGGCTGGGCTCAGCAAAGCCATTTCAGCATCTTAGTGAATCTGTCAGGCAGCCTTCATTTCTTCCCATGGAGCAGACCAACTGGGTGATGAGGCTTTCCTCACCATTCTCGTCCACAGCATCCTAGAGAGTAGGAAGAAGAACAAAGCTTCCGTCCCAGTTAGTGTGTGTGGGAAGAGTGAGTGTGTGAGGTGACATGGCTCCCTGACAGAGAAAGTCCATTCCTTCTAGGTGACCAATCAGGAGGCCACCTGGCTGTCCCTTGTCTCTGAAAGATTGCAGTTTTGATACCAGACAAAAGGTATCAAAATTAGCTTCAGAGCTGGTTTTCCTAGTGCCTCTTTGGTCTTTCAGGTATTATCACAGATTTTATTAACGTAGCAGTAATGTCATAAGCTCACCTTTCCAGCGGTTGGCACTCCGAGCTTGCCTTCACATGCAGACACATATTCTGTGCCCCAGTGGGATGTCCCTGGAGCTTGAGCACAGTCTGCAGACTCATTCCAGGGAATAAGCAATTTGGACTCATAAGTTTATTTATCCCCGTAGTCATGGCCTCAACAAATTACATCCAAGTATTTAGAGAGGAAAAAAAAAACCAGTCAGCCTTTAAATTGTGCTTTGCCTGTGGTATTTGCTAACAATCGCTAATGCTTCGTTTGGTTTTTTTTTTTTTTTCTTTTCTTTAGCAGTTTTGAGGAGTGTTGGTGAGTTTTCTGTCTGTGGAGAGAGTGTATGCTGATTCTTGCTCTTGTGTAGAGAAAGCCTGTGCTGTCCTTCATCTGAGGTGGCTCCATCCCATTTTGCCGTGTGGCTCCCGGTCGGCAGAGCTCTTCCTTCCAGCTGCAATGTTCTTGATAATGAATAGCCAGTCTGCAGTCTGTAGCCTCCTTTCCAACCTGACAGCAGTTTCTTCCTGCACTCAGTGGAGACAGGGCCAGCTTGCCTCCTTGAAGGGTGCAGAAAAGCCCGTTGAGGGCCCTGGGTGCCAGGGTATCACATCAGCCCTCTGGTACAGTGGTGAGCAGCACACACCTGTACACAGGTCACCATCTTGTCCATCCAAGGCCATTTGAGAACCATTTTTGTTTTCAACATACGGTAGGGAAAGCTTTATCCCTGCACTCCCTCAGCCATTCTAACATTTCTTTCTTTTGAGACAGGGCTTGCTAAGTATCCCCAAGCTGGCCTTGAACTCATCCTGCAGCCAAGGCTTTTCTTAAACTTGTATTCCTTCTGCCTCAGTCCTTAGTAACCAGGATTACAGATCTGTGTTTGCTCTTCTTTTACAAGAAGTGTGAGGCCTTTGAGTTTTCGCTTTCCCTCTGTCTGATGGAGCCAGTTTACATTTTTGCAATACTTATAATTTGTGCTGATTTTAATGATGGTGATGTTAAGATCATTTCTTCCCATTGGGTAGCAGAGCAAGAGCTGAGAGACCTTTTCCTCCAGAGAGTTACATGGGAGCCAGAAGCTACCATGTCTGTCTAGGATCTCCTCAGTCCCAGATGAGGAAACTAGCAACTCACTAAGAGGAGGCCCCATGGCCCTATGGGAAATGCTGCTATCTTGATCTAATTAACCATGAGGTTTTAGGGCTGGGGCTAGACCCTCATTGACATGCTAGGGCTCTGCTGGAAACACAACGGCAGGAAGTTTGAGTACCCACAGACAAACCCAAGAAGAAGCCTTGCCAGCTTTCCCTTGAGGAGGTCCCTTCCCTGGAGTCCAAGGGAGGGAAGACAGCATCTGGGAAGGATGCTGCTCCCTTCTTCCCCCACAGCTGTGATTTAGCTGCATCCCCTCAGAATATTATCCCTTTTCCCTCCTTAGGCTTTCTGAAGGGAGGCTCAGTTACCATAGCAGTATGAGTCAGATCCTTAAGGGTCTCAGGGATGAGCAGCAAGTAGAGCGTGGAGAGCCAAGGGCCCCACTGCCTTTTGGTAAATTTCAACCAAGGTGCTTCATGTGAGCCTTATCTGGAAAGTTCTTCAGATTCCATCTTAACTGAAGACTCTAGATCTTCCATGCCTCAGGAAGGACTTGGTTACTCCTATGATTTCACTCTCTTCTCCCAGGGTACCATGCTCCTAAGATAGTGGGGAACCTTCCAGCCTGGGAGAAGAGAGCACCCAAATTTCAAAGTTTTGATCTTACCCTAGGGGTGGCCGATCTGGTTCCATGGGACTGGCAGCTGGCAGCCTTGCTTCTTGTATCCAGAGCAAGTGCACATTGGGCACCCTACTCTAATGCTCACGTGGCTCTGTGCTTAGCATGGCCTCCACTGTGAGTCGGGATGGGTCAGTAGACCTGGGATGGGAGACTAATATGAAGCCCAAGGATCACACATAGGCCATTGCCTCCTGGGCTGTTGCAGGAAGAGCTGGGAGTCCAGACAATGAGTAGAACAGAGAGGCCCCTCCCATGGAAGCCTGTGTAACTACAAGGCAGCATAGCCTCTGCACCCCACCACATTATCTTTGTGTGGCTCCTGATTTTAGAATTAAGTACATGCCTGTATGTATTCCTGATGTCCCCAAGAGCAGTTCTTTGAACTTGCCAACTTGTACTGCCAATTTAACAATGTACTTCCATGTGTCAGTCCTGTGGATGTTGCTGTAACAGAGTGTGCACAGCCATGGACATATGCAATAGTAGACCTAAACACAGCACATAGTCCATGTACACTCTCAAGGCTGAGGACCAGAAAGAACAGAGTCTACTTTTAAATTCTTCTTTGAACTGTATTTCCAAGACCTGATTGTCCCAATTGACAGCTATTCGTTTGGGAGAGAGATTGCAGATTGGAAAGTAGCTCCTGCAGGCCGTGCTGTGGAATGATGCTTGTGTTGCCCAAGCTCAGTTGCTGTCTACTGCATGGGCTTCTGGCAGATCCATTGTGTCCGCTGTGGTGTGTGGGCTTGTGGTGGTGGTGATTCTCTCTGGGGCAGTTTGGTTTGTGGTGTTTGCATGTTTGCCCTGTAGTCCAGAAAGAGAAAGGGCAGTGGTGTTTTCTTCCTGACTTGCTTCTGGGCCTCCCTGGAAAGGTCTCAGGTGACTCTCATCTCCAGCAAATGGGGTAGGGTGTGATGAGAGTCACCCTCTGCCGTCCACGGTGCCCTCCTCCCTGGAACTCAAGGCCAGACCTTCATTTCAGAAGGGAGAGCATTCCCTTCCTTATCCTCACATTCCAGAGTCACCACCTCTATATTGGTGACTTATATGTCTTCTCCTTAGTTTCTCAAGCATCCTCAGATGATTTCAAAAACAACTTTATAATGTTTGATTGATCGGGACCTGAGCAAAGAGACATAAGCTTATCATTGCTGCCTTAGATGGCCACACGTGCTGGCCCACCTGGGAAGCCAGGGCATATAAGTTGGCCCTTCACAGGCTCCTGATTACACTGGGCAGCATCTAGCCTGGCCCTTTGACATCTGGTTCCCAGACATGTCTGCACAGTGCTGCAGTGGTGAGGAGGTGGGAAGGAGGAGGTGTAGTTTCAGAGGCCTTGCATTGTTGGGCCTGCCTCTGGCTGACTCAGTCTCAGCTTTCTGTAAAGCAGTGTCATCTGCATAAGGAAGTCCTGAAACAGGAGAAAGGAACCCTCTGTTGGGAACTTGCTCTGGTTAATACGTGCAAGGCCGATGTGAGGCTGCTCACAGGAAGTCTGAAGGCCCTCTTGGCCAAATGGAGATGCAAACTTTATGGGGTGGTTTTTGGTTAGTTTAAATTATATATATTTGAATGTCTAGTAAACTATGGTACTTGATCTCTTCTGGTGTAAGCAGACCAGATCTGAAGGACTGATTATTAGTTACTGGATGAAGTTCCTAGGTAAGCTCCCAGCATTGGGTAATTATTATAGTGATATTACAAGGTATAATGTACATGTATGTGGTAAATATAAAGACACATACAGGTACAAGTACACATAAAAGTCTTAGTCTTACATACATTTTATACTTCTCCTTAGATAAAAAAGGGTCTTCTAAGATTGACCTTTGCCCATCAGTGACTGCAGTTCCCAAGAAAACACCTCTATTTTAGGGGTAGCTATGGGTGGGTTGGATGATTTGGAGAGCCCCTTAGGACCTGTTCTTCCTTTTAGTACATCTTCTAGCTGCCAGTCCATAATCTACATACCACAGGACATCGTCCGAGCCAAGGAGATCATTGCCCAGATCAACACCCTGAAAACCCAAGTTAGCTACTATGCAGAACGGCTCTCAAGGGCTGCGAAGGACAGGTCTGCCACTGGCCTTGAGAGGACTCTCGCCATCTTGGCAGACAAGGTAGGAGGGACTGCCCAGCTGCATGTGGGGTAGAGAGGTCTCTAGGGTTTCTAGAAGCTACTAGACAACCCAGAGCAGCCCTAGAAGTGCCCAGAATCATATGGAGAGTGGCACTGTGGTAACTTTGAAGGCTTTTCTTTTAAATCCACAAAGTTACAGGGAAGTCTGTGACTTGCCTGTGGTCAGAGCCCCAGTTGTTGCTTAAAGCCAATGAGTTGATGTGTCTTCCAGCAAGTAAATTTGCGTTCATTTTCCTGGGACTCACACAGACTACAGCTTCCTTAGTCAGCACCTATAGAGCAGTTATTCAGTCATAAGAAATGAGCAATATAACCTTATTGGCTTATATGTATAATTAATTTTGAAAGTTCTGTTTAACCATAACTCAATCATGACCTAAAAAATACATACCCATCTCTGCATACTGAGAGAGAGGCTGTGCCGCCTTTGATGCATGGTGTTCTTTCCGTTTAGACACATTCGCATTACACCTCTCCACCCACACCTGCCTTGCTGCTGGGTGCTGTTGTTCCTGCTCAGAACGTGTCATATCCTTCACATGAGTCCCCACGGTATACAGACAGACCAGGAACACTGGGAAAGAAAGGGATAGTTGTCGGCAGTAAAGCTAGGAACAGCAGAGTTCCTGTTGTAGTCTCCAAGGCAAGACAGAACTGTGATGCCAGGAGCCCAGTCATTCAGAGCCTGCTGCATAAGAAATGCTCTAGAAGTCAAACCAAAGTAATATGTGATTCCCCAGGAACTAGCCCCAGGGGCTGGGCACAGTGTGCCGTTTTGTCAAGGCTGGAAGTGAGCCCTTTTCCCCAGTGATGTAGGGTCAAAGGCAAGCAGAGCCAGAAAATGTCAGCTGGATTCTTTGGCCCCTTCTAATCTTCCTTGACCCCTTCTGGGATAAGCAGGTCTCAAGCAGACCCTGTGTCCTCTAGTCTTGCAGGAAAGTTCTTGCTAAGGTTATCTCATGTTGCCTTTATATTTAGATACCCTTGAGAATGCTCCCCTAGCAGGCTGCATAGAACAGGATGCGCAGGGGTGTGTGGGGGGGACCTTAGCCTTTGCCTCTCTCCTTCTGTAAGAGAGCACACTTATCAGTCCTTGTTTGTGTGAACCTGCAGACTCGGCAGTTGGTGACTGTCTGTGATTGTAAGCTGCTGGCCAACTCCATCCATGGGCTGAATGCAGCACGGCCTGACTACATTGCGTCCAAGGCCTCCCCTACCTCGACTGAGGAGGAACAGGTGATGCTTCGGAATGACCAGGACACCCTCATGGCCAGGTGGGCAGGGAGGAGCAGCCGGTCTTCCCTGCAGGTGGACTGGCATGAGGAGGAGTGGGTGAGTCTGCTGCCCCTGCCTAGGGTCCTGCTGCCGAACTATAGAACTGCTGCCTGTGTCTTCCCTTGCTAAGTGCCAGCTCCTTTGTTAGCAAGCTCCAGGTCTGCTTCCCAGATGGCTCTAGGCCACCTGATATTGAGAGGTTGACTGTTTTCAGACCATAATATGTGTAAACTGTACTTGATTGTGCTGGAGCCAGGCCTCTCCTCTCACTCGGCCCCCGCTCACCCTTTACCCTTTAGGACTCTTTGTTGGTTGAATGCAGAGGCTCAGGTGCTCAGGCTGCCCCTGCCATCATGTCACTTCATGGTTCCAGTGTGTGCCCAGAGCTGGATTCTTTCCTCTTTAGAAAGAGTCAAATCCTACATCCTGTTGTAGTTTCTTGGGGCTCCTGCTCAGAGGTAACCTGGGAAGCACTGAATTATTAATTGGCAGCAGAGTACTCCACCAGCCCTGGCAGTCTGTGATCTGTCCAGGTTTCTGCAGCTCCTCCCAGCCTGCCGTCTCTTCCCTCAGCCCCTACCCAGCTGTTTCCATTACTGTCCATCAGAAGGAAACCTCAATGTCTGTGATGGTTGTAGGTAGCCCACAGCGGAGGAGGCAGGGATGAGCTCTTAGTGCCCTGTGGCCTCAGGCGAGGCCTGTCTGGAAGGCCATCTGTCTTCCAGAGTTGGCAGAGGATATTTACCAGGCTTTCAGTCAGTGACCACAAGGCTGTAAGCTACAAATCAGAAAAGCATATCTGACTTGAATGGCTGCTTGGGCATCATTGGGCTGGGACTGGGGGAGAAATGGGGTAGAGATGGCTGTGTTCTATTGTTGGTCTTCTGTTGCACAAGCTGACCAGGCAGTCTTGTTGGTTTGAAGGAGAAAGTGTGGCTGAATGTGGACAAGAGCCTGGAGTGCATCATTCAGCGGGTGGACAAGCTGCTGCAGAAGGAGCGTCTGCATGGGGAGGGCTGCGAGGACGCTTTCCCCTGTTCAAGCACCTGTTCCAGCAAGAAAGGTAACCGGGACAGCCAAGCCTACTGGATCAGACCGGAGGACCCCTTCTGTGACGCCCCCTCCTCGACATGCCCCTCCTCCATGCCCACTGCTGCATGCCATCCTCATTCAAGCACACGTGCGTATGCATCCACGCTTCCCACGCTGCCTCAACTCGTGCCGCCTCACCTCTGTCTGTGTCTGACTCCATGCGTGCCTCTCCAGTGCAGACTGCAGGGAGGGCTGACAGGCAGCGCAGGGTCTGGGTGGGGGGATCCACATACATACAACAGATAGGCAGGGTGGGGGCTCCTGTCTTCCTATGCAGCTGGAGCTGACTGAATCTGCATCACCACCATGGGCAGATGGCACCCTCCTGGACAATAGTGCCATGGTGGGAAGTCTTCGCAGGTTTGTAAGCCGACCTGAGAAGCTAATGGGCTGATGTAGATGTCTCTGTGGTGTTACTTTCATTGTGTTGGGATGGGTAGAGTGGTTTTAAAAAAGCAAGCTTTGTAGGAACTCTGCTGGATGAGGGTGCTTGCAGCCCTCAGGCTCTCATTGGCTGCCACTCTTACCCAGCAGAAGCATGGCGCCTAGCATCCTGTAATTCAGTCAGATGGCACATAAGCTAGATTGACTGTTTGTCACCACTCTTAGAGGGAGACCTTGAGTTCAGAGCAGTGCCATGCAGCAGCACTTCAGAAAGGACACAGGGCATGGTGAACACGGGCCTCAAAACAACCGGATGCTGAGGACTGGTGTGTCTAAAACAAGGGGCTGCCTGGCCCTCCTCTCTGGTGCCTCTCACTGTTTCCTACAAGAGCCAGAGAACACTTGAGTCAGGTCATCTGAGCCCTGCCTCAGCACCCAGCTCCTGCCTCCCTCTCATCTCCATGGGGAGTGTCAAGCTAAGTCCAACCAAAGTGTACAGGCTGGGCTTTGTGTGATGAGGGATCTCAGTTATACATACATCAGCCATCAAGAGCAGTCATGTGTCTTCATCAGTCTCCTGATAAGTCTCATGTGTGACATGTCCTTTGCCTCTCATCTGTCTGCAGTGTCCACGTCACCTACTTTCCATCTCGGGGAGTGGGGGTTACAGCTGTCACTTAGCCACGCCTGTGAGGGAGTCAAGGAACTAGCATGTGTTTGCTTTGTTCTCATCTTCCTGTTGTTTAAGTTTCTTCTCAAAGTTCTTAACTTACTTCTCTTTGATGTGAACTTGTTGTGGGTCTAGGCGTGTAGTTAGGTGGTAGATCACGTGCCTACCACGAGTGAATGGGGCTGCTTCAGGATTTTTTTTATTTTGTAACTTAAAAGATTTTCTGCAGATACAGAGGAAAATGGTTAGATATTTAAAATTTAGGAGCTAGTATGTTATGTGATATGGCTGTTTGTCTTTGTGACTCACGTGTCCAGGGTGCTTGTCCGAGTTAGGGTTTCTATGGTGGTGACAAAACACCATGACCAAAAGCAACCTGAGGAGGAAAGGGTTATTTCAGCTCACAGCCCATCTTCCAGAAAAGTCATAGCGGGAACTGGAGACAGGAACCTGGAGGCAGAAAACGATAGAGAGGTCACGGAGGAACACTCCTTACTGGCTTGCTCAGCCTGCTTTCTTACATACCTACCCAGGACCACCTGCCCTGGGGTGGCACCAACCACAATGGTCTGGACCCTCCCACATCAATCACTAATTAAGAAAATGCACTATAGGCTTGCTGACAGGCTAGCCTGGTGGGAATATTAACTGCTGAATTGTTAACCCAGGATCTATGTACAATCCCATCCTCATGTGGCCCTAGGATCACCTACTGGATTGTTAAGATGGGATCTGTAGATACACCCCAAGCCTCACGTGCCCCTGAGACCACATGGTGAAATTTGTAAGTGGATGGGGAGAAAGTTCATAGTGGTCATCAACTCTAAAGGACTCCATGACTTAAGACTAGTAGGAGGCACTGCTCTGAGGTTGCCAGAGGAGCCTCACTTCTCCCCTTGGGTTGGAAAGATACCAAACTGAGTAAACTCTCCCAGGAATGGTCCTGCCCTGCTGTTTGAGATCAACACAGGCACTCACAAGGCTCCCAAACTCTCCTCCTCATTCATAGACCAGGGTCCTAAAGTAGAGGTTACAGAGAGGCAAAAACAAACAGATAATAAAAGCGTAGTTTTTCAAGGCTTGGGATAATTCTCACTAGCCAGATACAGGCTTAACAACTGCTGAGGCATTGTTCTGCACCTTTAGGGCTCCTGTCAACTCCGGGTCCTAGCTCCAACCACTATGGCCGGGCTCCTCAGCTTCCAAAAGACTTTTTGTTTCCTTTCCCTCCTCTCAGCTTCATGAGTCATGCCCAGACACAGCAGAGAAAGGACCCCGACTCACCCCCTCCTGACAGGCTCCTGAGCTCCTTCTGTCCACCCTTGGGAGTCTAAAGCCACCTCATTTCAGTGTGCTATAGACAGCCTCAGAACTGAAGTTCACACACAAAAGGAACTACAAATCTACTCCTTTGATGCCTTTTCAAGATGTCTTTTCTCAGATTCCATTTAACTAGGAATTTTAGCATTTTAAAGGAAAATGTGAAACCGAAATGAGCACATCCCAGTAAGACTCAGCAAAAGTGAACTAGAATCAAAATGGGTACTCTTTGAAGACCTTGGCAGCCTGACTGGAGGGGCAGCCTAGCTGGAGGGACAGCCTGCCTGGAGGGACAGCCTGCCTGGAGGGACAGCCTGCCCAGAGGGAGAGCCTGGCTGGAGGAGTGTCCTATTTGGAGCCATCTTTCAAATCATACAGGTTTTATATTTAGTTTAGATGTAGTTTTGAAGGTTCTTTTGGTGTATTGGTTTTATTGTTGGGCCTACCAGCTTAAACCTCAGCAGTATATCGTGAGCTCTGGGTTCCTTCCTCAGTCAGTCAGGACAGTGGGCTCCACAGTTGACGTGCATGCTTGGCTGGTCGGTGTCTCTCACTGATGTTGTAAGCTAGCATGGGGCCTCATCTCTGCATCATCATCAGCGTGGCATCTGTGACATCGTGCGTGTTGTCAGCGTGGCATCTGTGACACTGTGTGTGTTGGCTCACTCATCTTGAAGAACATTGTATGTTGAAGTGTTAGCCACATGGATGTTGACTCTGGTGAATAACTGTTGTTCACCACTGAGAGGGCTCAGTTGCTCCCAGCAGCAGGAATGCCCTTGGGAAGCTGGGTAAGAGGCCTGGAGCTCAGGCCTCTTCTCCATGTGCTGAACCACCTTGCTGCAAGCTGCTGATGCAGTAGCTCTGAGACTGAGCTGCTCATGTTTGAACTGTGTGCTGCTCCTTAATCATCCCTGTTGCCCTCCATTTCTGTGCAGATTGCAGCCCCCCTCCTGAAGAGTCCAGTCCAGGTACGTGCTTTGCGGTCGAGGCTCCTGCTGCTGTCTCTTAAATGCTCAGGTAGTGCTTGTAGCTCAATTATCGAGGATTGTTTGTGTTCCCGGAGTTAGGAGAATATTTCAGTATTTCCTGTTTGGAGGTTTGGTGAGGGACCTGTGGGACTGGGGATATGACCTGAAATGGCCGCCAGACACGCTGTGTTTTCCTTCTGCGCCCTGAAACCTTTTCACTTGGACTATTTATGAGTGCACTGGGCTTCCTGTGGTGGGTGATCTGATTTAGAAAGCTACATGTTTGTAAATATTCCTTGTACACTCACATGGACTTCCGCACATAGCTCTTGAAGGCACAACTGGATGACTTGTGTCCACTGGGAATGTGTTGGGGCAGCTTCCTCTCAGCTTCTGCATGCGACAGAACTCTTATCAGACTTTGATCTGGGCCTTAGTTGGGATTATTTTTAAAAATGAAATCTTTCTGGTACATTTGTATGGAGAACCCAAGGCTCCTGATTCTACCTCAGGGGTTTGCGAACTTCGGTCTTAAGCTAAATCCTGGCCACAGCCTGCATTATGGCATTATATTGTCTCTCACCTGTTTTCAGGTAGTGCAGCAGAGACTCTGTGGCTCTCCCGGTCTATAAAGACTACTGTAGGGTACACCGAGCCTGCTGTAGTTCCTGCGAGCTTCCTATATACAGCTTGTGGTTTTCCCACAGTGTGCATGCACCTTTCCCCCCAAACAGGTTTTTACTCTAAAAAGTCAGCTACATGATCATGCCAATGGTAGCGTATTTCTGAGTAGGGATAAGCTGGGAAGACACCTATGCTATACCTAGAGTACAGCGGGTGATGGGCGCAGGACTTACGGAGCCATCCCTGCCCACTAGCACAGTGCCGTGGGCCCACACACTGTGCACACAGAGCCAGAGTCTAACCAGGTTCATCATTTCTTCCTTCCAGTCCCTTCATAGTCCTCGTCCTCCAGACACCAGTGTAGTGTCCCTGAGTGAGTCTTAGATCCCACTGTCATGGTGGAGCCCTCAGGGTCACTGGGCCTTAGTAGATGCACAGTTAACCCTGCTCTTTACTTGCCTGGTGTCTGACTCAGCCAGAGCCTTCAGAGAGCAGATTTCACAGAGCCTCAGTGATGTGGCAGTCTGGGGCCACAGCTAGCAGTGAGGACCAGAGAAGGGGCCTGCGAGCCTGTGGTGGGAGTTCAGGCTTCTTTTCCACTCTGGTTTCTGTCAGCACTCAGAAAACGCCTGATTTAAAGAACTCTTCCTCTTGGGAAGCACTGGCAGCTTTTCCACAGTTGGTGTTAAAAACGGTTCCCTGCCAGGAGTCCTGTACTGCACATTTAATCTGTATTAAACACACACAGTCCAGAGGCTGGAGACATCGGATCTTTGATGGGAGTAAAGTGCTCGCTGTGTACCTGTGAGGATCTGACTTCAGGTCCCCAGCACCCAAGTAAAGAGCCAAGAGTGGCAGAGCATGCCTGTAAGCCCAGCACTGGGGAGGAAGGACGAGACAGGCTGGTCCCAGAGCTTGTTGGCTGGCCAGGAGGTCAGGTGGTTAGTGTGCATTGGGCTCACGGAGAGAGTAAGGAGGGGTGATGGAGAGGACACTGACGTAAACAGGTCCCTGTCCATGCACATTCGGATGCTCGCACCTCCATGTGAGCACATATATGCACAAATGTACAGACACACCCACACTCTGTCTCTCACTCCTTGTTCATACTAGTTAATTTTAAAACAAAGCAGCCTGTAGATGGGAGAGCACTTGAACCTGCTACCTAAAGTGGTGTGGGCCACGGCTGGCAGGCAGCAGCTGTCACCAGGTAGCAGGTAGCTGAGGAGTTTACCCCAGACGTGGGACAGCTGCAGCACACGGAATATTGCTTAGCTGACCCGGTTCAATAATAATAAAACAATATAAAAGTAGTAGTCATTGCTGTCTTTCCTTGTGAGGTAGCACACTGAAAACCCTTCACCAGCTCCAACATTCCAGCCAGCTCTGGATAGATACCATGTGCTGCCATTGAAATCAGTTTGGCTTGGAATTGTTTTAAATTGTGTTTCTACTAATATGTAAAACACGTAGTACCCCCTATCTCCTGCTCTCTCATCAGCAGAAACAGGCTGACTACTAAAGATAATGGCTCTGAGAGCCAGGCAGACATACACAGATGTCTGTTCTGTTTGTGTGTTGGGCAGGCTCTCTGCTTCTAAGCCCTGTTCTCTCTGTGGATAAGATGGGCAGGTATTAGACATGCTGGCAATGGTGCTTGGTACCTTTACTGGACCCTGGCCAGCCAGCCTTGCCTGACATTACCTGGGAAGATGTTAGATCACCCTCTTGCAGGTCCATACCACCTGTTCTCCAAGACAAGTACTGAGTGCCTCTTAGACTCTCTTAGGCTTTTCTCCTAGACTCTTTTTTTCTAGTTTAGCAAACAATTCATTGTTACATGAATTTCATTTTTGAAAAAGAGTAAAGTTAAAAAGTCATATAGGGAAGGCTCGGCTTGGTTGAACAAAATAACTTGTTTATGCTGCTTATTTTTAGGTTAAAATAACCATGGTTATCCTATGGACTGTGTCCATGTGATGGTTGGAAAGCAAAGTAAAGATGGCTGCATTTGACCTGAGCACTCCAGTGCTTACTGAAGAGCAGTATTTGGAGGAAAAGGGGTGCTAGGTTGTTTTTATTTTTTGAGGTTGGATATTAGTATGTAGCCCAGGCTAGCCTTGAACTTGTTCTCCTACTTCAGCCTCCCAGGCTCTGGGATTATAGGCACGCACTACCACACCCAGCTATGAAGCACACTCACTGACTTTACCTTTCCCCAACAACATGCTGTACCCCCTGGTTTTCATTGGTCTTTTCTGGAAGAATCTGTTCTCAGAGTTCTTCAAAGAAGCAGGGCACTTGGTGCCTGTGGAATTCAGAGGGAGCGTATGGTCTGGTGCTTCTCTCTGATTTTCCCAGTAAGGTCCTGTGTGGCTGAGGGGCCTAGGACCTTGCCTGTGTCTGTTACTGCACCGCAGCCAGGCTTGGGACTCATATTTTCCACTTCTCAGTCCAGTGTTCTTTGCCACTGTGTCATATTTGCTAAGACCTTTCTGCCTTAGAGTCTAAATTTAAGCCTACTCTTTTCCCCATTACAGACGTAACCCTTGTCCACATATAGTGTGCCTGCATATCCTGTTAGATCATTTCCAACCCTGGACTGTTCTGTGTACTGAGGCCAGCCACTGAGTGTGGGCAGTTCCTCTACACATTCTTGGAGTTGAAGTGCTAGCTAGGTGGCAGAGGTGCGAGCAAGTCTCCCTTCTCTTCCTGCCCTCAGATGGTGTCAGACAGAGGCTCTCTCTGGCATTGCAGTCGCTGGGCTGAGGGCTCTGCAGCTTACACTGTGGCCCTCAGGATGTTCACTACCTTGAGCTGTTTGGAGTGATGCTTCTCCAAGTAGGGATGTGCTGGTGCCTGTTTTTGGACATGGCATGCCTTCTCTCTTTGATGTCTTCCAAGAAGGAAGGAAACAAAGGCAGAGCCAAAGATGGCCCTCGCTCTGCTCTGCTCCCCCCACCCCCTACCTCGGCTCTCTTTTTAAAGGGTTATTTAGGTACAGGGCTGAAGTTCCAGTCGTCTCTGGAAGAGAGCTGACTGAAGATAGTGGATAACAGGCAGGGCATGGAGGTTGAGGGACAGTGAGTAATCGACGGGCAGAGTCAGCACCTTGCTGTGGGAAGGGCTGTGACATACACGGCTGTGGGCCTTCCTTGTGGACTACGAAAACCACCATGCTGTGGAAGGAGGTTGCTCCTCTTGCACATGGCATCTGTTTCCAGCCCTCCCATGACCGCAGACACTTCTCTGTCATTTCCCTTAACGGTGCTAGTTTGACATGTTGAGGAAGGGTTCCTAGGAGCTGTAGGGTTAGTGCTAAGTGCTGTGTGTGGGTGGTGCCAGAGCAGAACTGATTTCTTACTCAGCAACTGCAGGTAGAGGGGACAGACAGACAGACGGAGCAGCACTGGCTCTGGGCAGAACTCGGTTCTGCTTTTCCAGGCCATGTAATGGGGAAAGCAGGGTCAGGAGGTATAGAGGGCTGGGGGGTGCGAGAGGAAGGATGGGACAGTGGTTAGGGGCAGATAGTGTGTGGCTTTGCAGGGCCTGCTTCTCCCGAATGCTAACAAGCCCCTCGCTCATGTGCAGGTGAGTGGAGTGAGGCTCTTTACCCTCTGCTGACCACCCTCACAGACTGTGTGGCCATGATGAGCGACAAGGCCAAGGCGGCCATGGTCTTCCTGCTCATGCAGGACAGTGCCCCGACCATCGCTTCATACCTCAGCCTGCAGTATCGCCGTGACGTCGTCTTCTGCCAAACTGTAAGGCCCCAGAGGACACAGGGTAGCCATATGCACCTCCTACCTCAGAGAAATAGGGCTCAGGGAGCCCTGCCCTTCCCCTTACTTGTGAAAAGAGCAAGTGGCCATGTTTTCTTCATCTGTTTCCTTAGCAGAGAGGCAAAGGAAGGAGCCTACCTCACTGATAAGTATTTGTTCCTGCTGAAGGGCCAGCTCTGACAGGACTGCCTGGCACCAAGCAAGGCAATGGCAAATGCCTCTTTGTCACCTTTTTCTTTTTCTGTACAAGGAATGTGGTTGAGGGCCACGTAGACTGGTTAGTGCAGTTTAAAGAGCGGGCGCTCAAGTTCTGTGGTTTGTCACAGGGCTCCATTTAAGATTTCAGTTACCACTCAGTGCGAAGATTGAGATTACTCTGAGTCATGTCAGAGGCTGAGCCCAGTGCAAGCCCACCTTTATCAGGTGCCACAAGCCTGTGTAGTTTATTGCCACCTTGTATAGCCTTTGATTACTGTGGTGTTACAGCCAGGTTATCCCTGGATCCCCAACCCCCAGCCCTCCCTGAGAGAAGGTAAGACATTGCTGACATCCCTGAGTAGTGGAAACAAATGGACTAGGGCATGTGCTGGCTGCCCGCTCTTCACACCTTCACCCTGTGCCTCTCCACAGCTGACAGCCCTCATCTGCGGCTTTATCATCAAGCTGAGGAACTGCCTGCACGACGGTGGCTTCCTGCGGCAGCTCTATACCATCGGGCTTCTGGCCCAGTTTGAGAGCCTGCTGAGTACCTATGGTGAGACTCCCAGCTTGGAGGTGACCCTAACCCAGGGCCACAAGGGTGGTTCCATTTGATGTTAAATGAGTCCAAACCTTCCCAGGAAGTGAACAAGAACCCGGGATGGGCCTGCACATGTCACACACCTCAGTGGGGATGGTATAGATCTTGACCATCTCTCTAATGAACATGGATGAGGATTTGGGCTGCTTCTGAATTATTCCCGCCAAATTTTTAGTGCAGTGAGCCCTGTATACTGTGGACATTTATAATCATATGAGCTAATTTCTATAACTGAGAAGCAGAGTTGCTGGTCAAGGGGGAGGGGCAGTTAGAAATGTAAAAGCTGATTCCGAATCACCCTTTATGGAGATGGCTTCCCCTAGACTTTTCTGGATTGTTTGTTTTATTTGTTTTGTTTTTATTTCTTCCAAGAAAGTGAAAATGGACCATTTAGAAAAAGTGTTTGTTCATCTTAGGGTTATGGGTTCTTGAAGAGGTGTCCAGTCGCGGAAGGAGGAGGCCATAGCAAAATTATTCTACTGCTCTTGTCCCCATCCTTGAAGAGCTAGCATGGGCTTTTGAGGTTCTGTGCACAGAAACCTTGAGATTCTGTAGTACCCATCTCTGCAGCTACATGTGCAGTGTTGCTGTGCAGTCAGTAGCAGATTCTCTCTCAGAGAATGTCCTCCCATCGATGCCCTCGGCCTCCTGTTCACAGACGTCCTGAGGAGAGTGGCAGCCTTGACATCTCTCCCTTCTTTGTTTCATTTCAGGAGAGGAGTTGGCCATGTTGGAGGACATGAGCCTTGGAATCATGGACCTGAGGAATGTGACCTTCAAAGTCACTCAGGCCACATCGAATGCATCAAGTGACATGCTGCCAGTCATCACAGGAAACCGGTAAGGTCACCACCTAACACTCCATCAACAGCGGGGCTTCACTGTGTCTGTCTCATG